ACAGGATTCCCCCCCCCCCCTCGAGAACAAACCACACCATCAAGGCGGAGTAACAGAGGCTGATTTCAAAGCAAAAATCATAATTTAAAAACTTTGTTGGCCGTTGATCCCTCATTTTAAAAAGAACAGCGGTGGATCCAGGATTTGGAAATAGAGGGGGTGCAGACGGCAAATTTGAATAAAGAGGGGGCGCAGAAGGAAATTTTCTTAGTATTTCAATGTGTGATTCTCAACAACAAAGAAAGGAGGGGCTTGCGCCCTCTTGCGCCCCCTGCATGGATTCGTCACTGTAAGAATAGGTCTAAGCAACAACAAACATGTTAGTTAACCTTCACTTCCAACACTTTTTATAATTTAATTTTGGAGCCCATTCGTTAAATTCATTTTCTTATAATCTCCTTTAAATCTGCCCCTGATATATTTGAATGCATAATGCGGGCTTCATTTTTTTTCCCTGAAGACCTAAAATTTGACCCGTGTTAAAATATATTATGAGGAGGGGGGGGGGGGGTGCTCAATCCGAGACCCATCCAAAATAAGCTAGGCTCAGTGATATCTAAACTCCACCGTAAAAACCACCCCCCCCCCCCCAAAAAAAAAAAAAAAAAAAAATCGAAATGAAGTCATGCGAGCTGTTTTTTTTTTTGTTGTGTTTTTGATAAAGAGGATATCTGAGCTCCCCCCCCCCCAATATTTTGGGGGAACTCATCACAACGGGTGGAAATGTTATCCTTTTTTGGGAGGATCGAGAGAGGAGCTCAATGATAATCGATTCCCAACAAAAATATGGTAGACACAATGATATCTGAGCCCCCCCCCCCCCCCCCACTCAAAAAAAAAAAAAATGGGAGAGGCTCAGTAATATTTGAGCCACACCAAAATTATAAGTGGCTTAGAGATAACTGTCCCCACCAAAAAAATTGGTGGTTGTTCAATTAATGTCTGAGCCACCCCCCCCCCACCCCCCACACCTCCGCACACACCCTCTGAAAGATAGAAGGGGCAGGCTTAACCCCAAATCCGTCTTAGTTTGTTCCTACTAAAAAAAAAACCCTGCCCCTGATATATTAAATGCATAACATGGGCACGATTTTTTTTTTTGCCCGATAAGACCCGAAATTTGACCTGTGTTAAAATAAATTAGGAGGAGGGGGGGGGGGGGCTCAATCCGAGCCCCACCCAAAATATGATGGGCTCAATGATATCTGAACTCCACCCACAAGAAAGAAGAAAAAAAAATGAAGTCATGCGAGATGATTTTTTTAAAATTTGATAAGAAATTATTTCTGAGCCCCCCCCCCCCCCCCCTATTTTTGTGGGAACTCATAACGCGGATGGAAATTTTTTTCCTTGAAAGAGAATTGAAATTTGACTTTTGTTAAAATATCTTCGGAGGAGAGAAGCTCAATGATAGTCGATTCCCAACAAAAATATGGTAGACACATGATATCTGAGCCCCCCCCCCCCAAAAAAAAACAAAAAAACAATGGGGTAAGGGCTCTATAATATTTGATCCACACCAAAATTATAAGTGGCTTAGTGATAAATGTACCCCACCAAAAATTTGGTGGTTGTTCATTGTCTGAGCCCCCCCCCCCCATCCGCACACACCCCTCTCCAAGATAGGGCCATTAGCCCCAATCCCGCCTTTGTTCTTCGTATGAGCAAATTTTCAAACTGAAGTGCACGCGAGCTGATTTTTTTTTTCTCGATAGAGACTAGCTGAAATGTGACCTGTGTTAAAATGTATTGGGAGGGAGGGCTGTATATAGGGCCAAGTTTCGTAAAAATAATGCAAATCGTAAAGATGCATAGCCTACGTTACACACTTCAAATGGGGGTGTTTCCATTTGTTGACCTCACCTTACACCCCTAACTCTAAGCATAATCTTAAACATAACCCTAACCCTACCCATGTCAGCTAGGATGACAGGGGTGTATACATGCAGGTAACATGTGGAAACACCCATTTGAAGTGTGTGAAGCCTGTGCACTTTACAATTTTTTTTTTTTTTTTTTTTTTTTTTACGAAAAGTGGTCCTGCAGATCGAGGCTCATATAATTTTCGAAATGCAAAAAACCCAACAAATTAATGATTTAGTTTCTTATTACACCCTTTAGTTGGCATCTCACTTGTTCGACGTTGGAGTCGAGGGCAGAGGCACCTCGGCCTACGTTGTACTGTATAGAATTATATAGACTCAGACTAGCGGGAGTGGCGTAAACAAAAACAACAATAAAATAAAAGCTGGAGACTTGAGGTCGATGGATCGAACTCGATCTTGTAAAGTTCTAATTTTGAGGTTGTCCCAACAGTACAGCAATTAAATGTCTTTACCCCACCCTCACCCTGCCCCCTCCCCCTCCCCCCATCCCGTACAACGAATCTTTAAATGCGCGTCCCGCGTCCATCACAGACTGGGAGTAAGACTATGCGTTGAACCGATTTCTAAGAAGTTAATAATCCCGCACGGGCGATGTGTCGAGCTAGTTTCTAAGAAATTCCCACGGAGCGCGGCGGACATGTCTACCTACGTGTGTACTATACTTCTATAATCCCCATGTTTGGGTGTTTTGTAAACAATAGATTTCCCATCGACAGCACGTGCCGAATCTTGAATCTTGAATTTGTTGCACCCAAAAAGCTACGTTGACAGCTGTCCGAGGAGAAGAGTCAAGACTTGATTATCTACGGTACCTTCAGAGTACTGGCGTTGCGTTGGAAAGCGAGAGGTAATTTTACAATGCTTTTTCTTTCAAGTTTTACAGTAACGTTAACTTAATTAGATAACAGTTAATGTGTTACAATTTACAAAGTGTTACAGCTACTAGTACTACCACAGTGTTTTGTTACTTAGATTCACACGTTGTGCACTGTAGTGTACTGGGCGAGACGGAGCTAAGTTACGGTGTTAAACAGTTATTGGACTAACGTTGCTGTACTAATCCACAGTAGCTATAGACTCTGGCAATTTGGAAGTCTATTTTATGTTGGATCTAGATCTAACTTTATGTCTAGTATTAGTAAAACTAGATCTAGTAGATCTAGAACTTAAAGGTACTAGATCTATGTCCCTTTTGCAGCCAACCTCAAATTCTGTAGAACTTTGCAGGAATTATGAATAGGGTCTAGCCTATGTCATGTAGGCCTAGACCTATGTCCTATCTGTGAAATTTAAATGTTAGCAGTGTCCTCATATTCAAATTATGCAAGGAAACCCGTTTACTTGCTAGACTTCACTGTCAGACACTACTGAGTGACTGACTGGCTTTTTTTTCTTCTTTGGTCATAAAATACATGAAAAGAGTTGTAAAGGGTACATGAGCATTTGTCTAGATCTACATCAATAACCACTTCTTGTGTGGCCAAGATTAAACTGATTGAATCTTTGCGCAGCATAAAACGTAGACCTCTATGACCATTCGGTACAGTTGTCTGAAAATCAAGACTATTACTTTTGGGCTCTAGGCCTATAGCCCTAAAGTCGATTTGACAACTAATAGATCTAGTCGTTATTTTCCCACTTGAAGACATTTTTAAGCCCCACTTTGTTTAGGGAAGTTCTAAATTAGTATTATCTTTCAAATGCAGTTGGAATTTAACTTTTTCATTTTTTTGGCCTGCAAATGGGACATAGTACCTTTAAGTAAGAAGGAATACAATGTCACTTTACAAATATGTTGACTGGGCTAGGCCACTCATACACGATGTCAATACAAGTATAGGCCACTCATAACACGATGTCAATACAAAGTATAGGCCACTCATAACACGATGTCAATACAAAGTATAGGCCTAACAGTTAGGCCCTGGCCGAAGTTAAAGTGATCTTTTTAAAATTTGATGGTCATAGATCTAGTCTACTCATAGTTTAGATCTACAACTGTATGATGGAGGTACTTTTAATCCACGCACTTTGTTTTGAAAGGCTAAAAAGTCAAATAATTTAACATTTTTTATCAACGTTTTTTCCTCATTAAATACTAAATATTCTGAGGATCATTTATAGAGAAAACTTTGACAGGAATATTTGGTGAATGTTAACTCTCGTGTCGATTACGTGACCGCTTCAATTTTTCTTTGACAAAATCAAGCGGTACATTAATCCACGCACCACAGTTTTAATACAGGAAATGAATGTATATTTTCGTTTTCTGTCTCAATGAAGTGTATTCTTGATGATTTCATGAAATCATAAAAATACAAGAAACCAATGATTTTCCCTCAAATTGTTGTGATATCGCGATAGGCTTGTTGTTTTATTGTCTATCCAAAAAAAATGAGCGCATATAACGCGTCGCATCGCGCGTATTGAGGGATGCGTGGATTAATGTACTGCATGGATTAAGGTACCTCTACCATACTAATAATACAGTTGTTTATGAAGTCTTGAAGAATGTTGTATAAACCACAATATTTTTTCAGGCATTTTTTATGGCAACACTTTCTTGCTGCTAACTGTGTGTTAAACTTTCGAAATTTGTGATTTTTTTTCTTCACTTTTTTGACTTGTTTAAATTTCTAGATGAGAATAGAATTATACTTTTTATAGATCTAACAAAGTTAGGTCTAGACCTACATATTACATCTAGATCTAGATCTGTTTACATTGTAGAGTATTGGCATGCACCCCCCCCCCCCAAAAAAAAAGTATCTGAAAGGCCCACTTTTTTTAAAAGAACCTATTGTAATTAATGTGGACCATTTATCAGGAGGATTAACAGGATCCTGTTAATGAGGATTATAAAAAGCGCTTAAAATGCCCTGTTTTCAGGTAACTAGATCTATATGAAAAAATTTCCGCTCGCATTATTTGTTTAAATGAAACCAAAACTAGAATTTCATCAATTATAATATATAATTTTTACCACAAGCTTTCCTTTGATACATAGATCACCAAAAAACGCCCACTGAGTACCCCACATCAAACTGGCAAATATTTTGAAAAATAGGCATTTGCGATGTCGTCTGCTATCAAGGGTGCTGGCATGTTTATGATCTGTAGTGAGACCCCCTACATGCAAGTCTGTGACGTATAT